ATACACACACTAAAGATTATGAGGTGCTCAAATACTACAGTACTCATAACTACCTGTTTTCCTGTACTGTACCAGATCTATTTGTGGGTTAAGGACTTCATGTGTCTTCCATCTTAATCTAGTGTAAATAGTATGTTTATATATATGCTTCATAGCAGTAAGTAGCTGAAACATTTTTAAAGATTGCACTAGCAAGGAACAAAGTTTCACTTCACTTTAAAATGCCAATAGAAGCCCCCTCTTTTTCCAATCACTGTGCTAAGCAGATATAAGCAGTGACCTGCAACTCCTGTTTATGGGTCCTTTTGGTAATACTACTGGACAGTACATTTAAATGTAAGGGAACAAAATGTTTAGGGGTGATAAAGAAACCCAGTTGTAAAGTTTCATATTGGGCTCCCTTTGCCTAGCCCTGCATTGAAAAGGAGGAAATAGGGTTGAGCTGTGAAATACAAGGACTGAGGGGAGTGGATAGTGACAGCACATCAGTAACAGACTACAAACCCCTACAACCAGCAGCATCTGCTGCAGTTATATTTTCTCTTCCCTCCATAATACGTTGGGGACATGAAGGGCGGGGCAGGGGAGGCACTTAAATGATAATGAAAGAAAAATGTAGCAATTACATACCAGAATGCTGAGTAAAAAAATACACAGCGTTGTGCTGGATACAACAGACAATATTTGTTACAAATACAGGTGTGTACAATTTTAGAGGCTGCCATGACATGCTTGTTAAATTACTGTCATTTTAAAAAGGATTTCACATCCTTCGGTGTGTTGAGAATCAAATTAATATTTGAAGGACTTTCTGGCAAGTTTTTGTATGCTACTGTGTATTCCAGATAGCTTTTTCCTTAACTTATTAATACTGGAAGAAATAACTAAGAGAATGGAAGCCCTGGAAAACAGACTAAGATACTGATGAAGAGTTCTTAACAGATGTATACACTGTACTGTATATTTATACATACAAGTTGCAACAAAGCTATTTTCTTAAAGCAGTACAAAGCTAGGTAGCACAAATCTTTTTGTGTCTGAGGGAAAAGGACATTTTTGGACCCAATATTTACATACTGAGGTACAGCATCGTATTGTTCTCTTGCATTGATTGCAGTAAGACAAATGTTGAAAGGAATTTATAAAAAAATTTAGTAACTAGAAAAATTTCTAAGAATTTAACACTTGAATTCATAAGCTATGCAATCTAATAAAATGCTTTTATTTTTAAATGGAAACCTCCATGGTGTGTTTGGGTATTTTTAGACTACTTACTGGTGTGTTACACAGGTCAGGCTAGTGATCACAATGGCCCTTTTCTGGCCTGCGAATCTGACTCTAATATACTCTGTAAATCATTTTTGCTTTATTAGTTGTGCTCCATCTCTCACCCCCTCCATCATATTAAAAATATTAAGTGTGCAGCATAAATGTGATTATAAAACAATTGTTTCATATATACTCTCCTTTGCCTAGTATAAAACATCATCTATAGAAAACTAGACATGAGGGAATGTGTAGTCTAGCTTAATAGGTTTTTACTTGCATCACAAATGTATGCATTAACTCAAACTAGTGTTTCCTTGCAGTATTCCAGGTGTTTCAGCAGCATTCAAGTAACAGTTTGCCATTTGCCTACTACATCCAGAACACCCACAATCTCCTCTCACTCTAGTCAGTAGACAGAATTCACAATTATTTGGTCCCAGTCTATATTCTACTCTATCACATTGTAAACGCTTCAGGTCAAGGGTCTTTTCTTGTGTGCACACGCTATCTAGTCTACAGTGGGAGACAAGCAAATTTCCTCCAGTTAAAGGGCAGAATACGGGGCACTAAATGTTTCAGGGAGAATGGTCCTAGGGTGATCTTACATTCAAATATTCCACTTTGAGAGCCATATAGAAGGTACTGTTTTCATTGAAGCAGATTCTCTCAGGCTAGACAATCCTACTCTTGTTGGATAATTCAACAGCAGAGCTAAGCAAATTAATTATTTAATGTGGTCAAACCAAAAAAATGTGATTAGTTTCAAAGTGACACTGAATTTGTTTCTTACCACAACAAAACCCCACATTTAAACTGAGCAATAGCTTTCCTGAACTGCAATTTCACCCTCTCTTCCAGTCTCTGAAAAAATCTACCACCTGTTGGCACCTTTTTGTCACAAGTGAATCTTACGTCTTAGGCCACAACTGTGACAGCAAGTGTTCTCTCAAGAGAACATGGAGACTTTTACAGATGAAAACCAGCTCTATCCCCAAGAAACCTGAAGGGTGTTTTCTTTCCCTCCCAAAATCCTTTAGTTTTTGCTGCCGTCCTCTCTCCTTGGACAGTGTTTTATATTCCTTTTTTCATGCTCTGAAGGTAAAGTACAGACAAGCAGTATACATGTTCCCTTTTGATTTCAGCTTGTCAAAATAGTAATTTCCTAGCTCTTTCCAAAAAAGGCAGTAGCCTTTTCTGCACATTCTTGTTAAAGAGCAGTTCATCCATTGTGAGGATGCAAACATTACAGTAGTAAGTTTGTAGGGTTAAGTGACATCCCACCATGCAGACTCAAGAGTGAGGTTTTCAGTTCCTGGTACCTCCAAATTTTGCACGTGTTTACAACTTACAGCAGCTGAAAGTACCAAAAAGATGCTTGAAGACTGAACTTTTTTTTTGGTACTCAACAATTACATAAATCTTGCATGAATGTATACAGCTTTACAAAGCAGTATAAGCTATCTTATATCTAATTAAGTAGAATTCATTTTTGAGAATGAATAGATTTTCAAAAGCATTTACTGTTTTGGACTCAAATTCTTAAAACAAGTCTCCCCTTGTAACATGCTAACTGGTAAAGAAAAACGTGACCGCGTAACAACAGTAGTCTCTGAAACTAGACTGAAGCAGTGAGTGATGGGATTCTGTAATCGTGCTGTTGGACTGCAAACAATTCTGCATCCAATATTGGTTTTTGCTAAAGATCCATTAGTTTTTCAGACTGGTCAAAGAAAACTTACATAGAGTTTCTGTTAGAGCTTTAATTAAGTAAGAGGTTTCAAATCTGACCTTTAGCTCACACACTCCCCTTTCTAGAACTGGGAACTGAGTGCAGTTTCATCTTTCGTGCTTCCTAGCATACATGAAGAGTTTGTTGTTTGATAGTAGTATGTGCTCAAGGGAGTTGTTTATAGATGCACAAAAAATGCAAATATGCTTATAACTGAACAAATATGGTGGCTGATGGATCCTGGAACACAATCTCCCCCACCTTCCCAGAACTTTAAATCTCAATGTTTAAGTACAGGTAATGGATTAAGTGACACCTAGCATACAAATTAAGTAGTGTCCAATTTAAATAATGCAAATTTAAACAGGCAAATTTTACTTTCAAAATCATTTTTAAAATAAAAACTTCCTCTTGAGAGGATCCTAATACAGAGATTCAAAGATCAATGGGGTTAATTCTTCCAGTATCACAGGATTTAGCTAAGTAACTTCCTTCAGGTTTTATTGTGACTGTAATGGATGCCACTTGCAAAGATTCTTACAGTTCAGAAGAAATTTATTAATAATCAATGACTGATTCAGCATACATCAAAAGGAGAAATACACAGAATTGTAGTAAAGTGTATTTTGTATGGCTCTATTAAAGATACATTGCTGAAAAGCTGAAACCACCTATGAGAGAAATTGTATTGTTATTGTGTATTCTTTTTACTAGATGCCTGCAGAGAGCGGACCTCTCACTTCTAAATACTCCTTATTTGTATTAAAATAGCACCAGTGATCAGGGCTTCAGAGAAAGATGGTCCCTGTCCATAAGCAGAGACCAACATTTTCAAGCATAACTAGTGATCTGAATAAATCTCCTTTAAAAAAAAGGATCTGCAGATGGGATGCATAGTACTTTCTAAAAAAAGAAGTCCCTTTATGATGTCTCAAGTTGGGCACTCAGCCAAGTCACTTAAAAAAAAAATCTATATCTCACTGTCGCTTAGATTTTATAAGCGCTATTTTAATACACTGAAATGAATTCTCCCTTTAGAAATATAGGCCCACATTGTGAACTAGGGTTTTCAATTGAGTAGGGATATTAGCATGAATAGACCCAAAACATGAAACCAAAAAGAATGAAACCATAAGAAGAGTTGTGTCAAACTTGCAGTGACCCTTCAAAATACCAGTGTTCTCATTAAGGTTTGGGCTAAAGCAAAAAAAACCTCTTAATTGGGTACCAGGTGCAATAAACAGGCTATAGAAGAAACTCCTTCATCTGGCCTTAGGTAAGGTCTGATAATTGGTAATATCACGTTTATTAAAAGCATATATAAAAAAAGTAAACTCTTCAAGGATTCACTGCTAATACCTACCTGACCAAGTTGGAGCTGACCAATACAGGGCTAAAGCCAGAGATGTCTCCCTAGACCATTTGTAAGTATCTTGATCAAATGCTTATGTTTTGTTACTCCTGAAATGTAGTAAATTGCTTGTTTAGGCTTTTTAGGCACATTTAGAGCAATTTTATAAATACCATTCAGTCTTTGGATTTAATGAAGGATTTATGGTTAAATTATACCCTACATAATTAATTCCAACACTCCCCTGGGAATGAAAAAAACTAGTCTCATCTCTTTCCTGGATCTTAAAAAAAGAATTAATTTTAGTTCAAATAAGCCTCTTCCTTCTATATATGTTTAAACAAAATTCTCTCAACCACTCCCTTTGCTTACCTACCTCAGACTTCCATCAAATGAAATTAAGATTAAGTTTTTAGGCTGTTTTATGTCCTAATCCTCTTGAATTAACCACACAAAATAAAGCAAACTATTAGGATTTTCAGGGATTCTTATTCTACTTGCCCTATTCAAATCCAAAGCCTTTGGAAAGTTTTAGACTGTTTTTTGTAGAACGCTTTTCTAACAGAAAAAGAGGCACAGTCATGGTAATCAGTCTCTATTTGCACACTTGTGCCCGAAACTAGTAACAGTATAAATTAATACAAAATACAGTTTTTTTTTAAAACAAGTCTGTAACCAGTTTTATTATAGAAAGGATGACAGCTCTCCAGCTTTTACTTCTCAGTGGTCTGCTCTGGCATGCTTCTAATGATGTCAGAATCGCCTGTAAATGGAAAAATAAGCCATATTCAAATCTCAGGAAAGGGGCTACAGCAAAATCCATTTACAAATACAGGACAACTATTTGGAAGCTATTTTAAGTTTGCCATTACACAATGACCAATAACTTCCACTTAGAAATCTGTTATAACTTGGCTTTTGAAAATTCTATCACATTAAATTAAAAACTCAGGTGTTGGCACCAACAAATAGTTTTGAAGGATAGTATACTTCTGAGTATGGTCTCTATTAATCTCTGAAATGTTTTCCTTTTTAAAAAAATGTCAAAGCTGTTTCTATATAAATTATACTAATGTACAACACAAAATGACAATTAAATACACATCACTAGCCATTAAAAACACAGAACTAGAGAAACAAGCAAGTCCTGAGGATACGTTGCAGAATTTTAATATAGCAAGTGACTAGCCTGATCATTGAAATACAGGATAGTGACAATATTTGCCAATACCAACTCAAAAGCAGAGGTACTATACAGACTTAAGAGCTAAATTATACAACTAAAAATAAAAGTGTTGCATGTAACTATATTAAAATAGTTATTCACAAGTCAAACCTGAAGCAGCAGGTTATAAATTAGATTTTGCTGGAATTAGTTTGAGTGTAAAATATCATACTGTATTCATATCATACACACAATAAGCAGATATAACTACAGTGAACATTCAAATGGTCACTCAAGGACAACTCAGTAGAGATACATCTAGAAATGTAGTGAAATCCATCTTTAAGCAGCCATTCAAAGTGGCTGACAAGGCACCATCTAAAATAGAGCAGGATTAGACTATGTTTAAAGATACTTTGGGGTAAATACAGACAAGAAATTGCTTAATTAGAGTGTTCATCTTAGAGGTTATAACAGTCAGCCTTTAGGCCCAGAGATACCACCAGCCTATGGTAATTATCTTTGTTCACTGCTGACGCCAAACATTTAAAATGAGAAATGTTAGAGCAGGGGTTCGCAAACTTTTTTTTAACTGGTGATCCCTTTCACACAGCAAGCCTTTGAGTGAAACCCCACCCCCGGTAAATTAAAAACACGTTTTTATATATTTAACATTATAAATGCTGGAGGCAAAGCAGCATTTGGGCTGGAGGCTGACAGCTCACGACCCCCCGAGGGGTCCCGACTCCCCATTTGAGAAGCCCAGGTTAGAGCATTTAGCAATCCTGTTCACTTTCAAGCTTGGATGTCCAATAAGAAAAACTGTATTAGAGATCATATTTCCAAGCCTTATCAACTGGCCAAAGTATTCTAAAGATCCCCATTGCTGGTGGGAAAAATAGCTTGCTGAGGTGAAGCAAGCCCAATAAAGAAAATATGCTGGTTTTTTGTTTTTAATGTTCTGTGTCATGGAAGTCCTGTCCAGGCCCTGTACCCTGGTATTAAACAGAATGGCAAATCCAGTTAATGTTTTGTGGTGATGGAGTCGTATAGAAGCAAAAGATGCTAGAACACATACCTGGATCAATGATAGCCAGCGTGCACACTCTGTAGTATTTTCCACATGCTGTACCCAATTCAATATTGTTGCCGCTGTAGTGATGCACACCAGTCTTTGCCAACATAGCATAGTACTCAATCTCTGATTTTCTGAGAATTAAGGAACTATGTATCAGAAAATGGTACACTCACGCATTCCCATCAAATGAATCCTTCAATGGGACATTATTAGACCAGTTTGAATCCTAACTACACTTCCAAAGTTTTAGATTATTGAGCAGTGAAGTTAGTTTTATTCTTCCACTTGAGATGTGTGTTGGGGGGCAGTCACCATCTTTCCCCCAAGGGGAGCCTGGCTTCCCAATCACAGCTTTTGGATATAGGAGTCTGATTCTGACAGACAGGAACGGGGTTTGGCAGCTCTGGTTAGTGCAGATGTCTTTTCCAAGAAAGGCCTCAAGAGCTGCTCAAATAGCAGGTAGGCTCCTTTGTACAGGGAAAAAGGGCTGACAGGAGATGCAAAAGTAGACTGCTGAGAGGGACTGGCAGTGAACAGGACTAGTTGATGGGTTGGTCACTGGAACCTGTAGCTGATGAGTAAGGCTGCAAGTTTGTCACAGACATCATGGATTCCGTGACTTTCCAGGACCTCTAACTTCTGCCCCAGCAGCGACTGGCCCAGGGCCTGGCTGCTGCAGGGGCAGTTTCGCACCACCGCACTCCCTCCCCCAGCAGCTGCAGGGGTTTGGGTGTGGAAGGGGGCTCAGGACTGGGGGTTGGTGTACAAGAGGGGTGAAGAATCTGGGCAGCACTTACCTCGGTAGGGCTCCACAGAAACAGCATCATGTCCCTCCTCCAGCTCCTAATCCACCTCCAGGCACTGCCATGGTTCCCAGCCAATGGGAACTACGGAGCTGGTGCTCAGGGCGAAGCAGAGTTGCCTGGCCACACCTCCACTTAGGAGCTGAGGGAAGGACATCGCCACTTCTGGGGAGCTGCACAGAACCAGGTAGGGAGCCTGCCAGCCCCACCCCTCACCAGCAGTAGTCACGGGCTGCTCCCCCCCAGAAAAACCCAGGTCACTCTCCTCCGGTCAGGGGTATATAGTACAATTCACGGACAGGTCAGAGGATGTGAATTTTTGTTTACTCCCCGTGACTTATCCATGACTTTTACTAAAAATGCCCATGACTAAAATGTAGCCTTACTGATGAGGGCTGGGGAAGGCAGGTGGCCAGATGCTAAGCAGACAGGGAACCAGAAACCTGGGCTTCTGGTGGTGACAGAGGCATTAAAGTGAATTGTGTCCAGTTCTTTCACATTCCTAGCTTGCCCCTTTTCCACTTGGCCTCTATGAGCTGCAGGTCTTGTCAACCACCACTGGTCCCCTCCAGCAATCCAAATTACATGCAGATCCACATCAACCTGTCCCCCTCCCACAACCCGAATAGCTCCAGCCACTACAGGGTCTGGATCCCTTTTCTGCATCTTGAAACTCCTCATAAAAAGTTATTTTCAAAGCCACCAAAACCCTATTTGATGACAGACAGGATCCAGCCCACAGCATGAGGTTTCAAAATAGGGAGGGGAGAGGAAGAGGCACAGAAGCCATTTAGGATTCCTTCTCCACCTGCATAACAGCCACTTTGCTACACCCTTCTTATCTGAATCATAACAGGTGTAGAAAGTTTTTCTTTAATATAAGCTTCCTTTGCTGTACAGAAGCTGGGCAGCATAATTTAAAAGCACTTTACAGGCTCAGTCCTGCATTGTTTGCACAAGCAACTTGCACCAGAGATCCAGCATCATTTTGCAGCAAATATAACATTGTAGAACTAGGACAGGACAGTTCAGTGCACTGTACTAAAAACTGTTCACACTGTGCACAGCATAAAGCAGATGTGGATAAAGTATCTCTTTCTAAAAGCAGTTTTCAGGAAGTCCAATTTCCAACAGAACAGTACCTACCTCAAAGCAGGACAGTTGTTGGCTAGGATGACCAACTTGGCTTTGCCCTGCCGAATCATTTTCAGAGTCTGTTTGTACCCAAGCACATATTTACCACTTTTCATAACCAGTTGAAGCCTTGAGTTTATGGACTCTAGCGACTTTTTCTGTAACAGAGTTAAAATACATGGAATAATGCAGATTAACACAGAGAATGAACAATTTTAAAGAGCTTTAACTGAACAAGTCTTTTGGTTCACTAAGCTTTTTACTATTTACAGTTCAAAAGATGAAGTAGCTCATATCTAAATATCCAAGAAATTAAGAAAGAGCTTATCAATAACAAAACAAGAAATTTGTATATCATATGACAACATTCCTCAGACTTCAAGGTAGTCCCCTTATTTATACCTCTTAAATGCAAAGAGAAATTAACTGACAATTTTTAAAGCTACTATACAAATTATGTTGTATTGTTCTGAACTTCCAACCTGACCCTACCCTTTTCAGGGTCAGTATATTTGTGGGATCCTACATTCAAAGGTCCTTTTTCAATTTACCAAGGCTAAGCCAGGTTTAGAAAGAAGCATCAAGTTACCCCATTTTAAACTGCAGTCTGACCATTAGACCCTGTCCTGCGTACATACATTTCATGCAATATAACTAGGACAGTGATCACTATCAACAGGGCGCTGAAGTGATTTTTCTGTAATGCTTTGCCGCATATTGCAACCAGGTAGCGAATTTTGTAATTACAGAGGACATCTTACAGCATGACTCCCGAACTTTCGAGCGTACAAAAATAAAGGCCATGCTCATCACAAGGTAGAGCAAGACACGAGAGCAGACGCCGAAATGCACTGACCCTCACCCACGCTTTGTTCTAGAACAATTAGGCCATAACCCATCCCGACCGCACAGAGCTAGCAAAGCCCCCGGGGGAGGATATCGACACGCCAGGGAACCTCGGGCGGACAGCGAGAGCCGGGCGTGAGGCGACCCGGGCTCGGAAGACACAGGGGAGAGCGAGGTGAGGGGCAGCCCAACACAGCTAAGGGGACGATACCGCCCTGCGCCAGCGCCTCCTACGAGCTGAAGGAGCCCAGGGGGAGGCCTCCCACAGCGACTTGGGGCACCCTGCTCCGCTCCCCTTATTCATTTGGGTTCCCCCACCCCCGGGACAGCCCGGAGACCGCTGGCCGCTCCCCAGGCAGCTGCCCCGCGCCCCGGGGCCGCTCCGCAGCCTCCTGCCGCCGCCACGTGAGCGCCAGGCCCGCCCCGCTCACTCACCGTTTTCTTCGCAGCCACCATGTTGCTGCCTCGTGTCGGGTCCGGCGGTTGCTGAAACACAAGGAGGAAGGGTTAGCCCCGAGTGCCGGCCGGCCCGCAGCGCCCCTGCCCAACCCCGCGGAGCCCCGCTCACCCGAGGCGCGCCTCCAAGATGGCCGGGCAACAAGAAAGGAAGAACCTCCCACAATGCAGCGCATTCCCCCCCCCCGGTGCCCGGCGTGAAATCTCGCGAGACGTTAGTTAACTCCGCCCCTTCTGGGTTGAAATACGCCTGCGCCAGACTCCAGAGGACACTAGGCGGCGGGGTTTTCTGGTTGGGAGAAGGGAGGGAGTAGTTTGGGAGGCGGGGCCTGTTGGGGAGGAAGGGCTCTGTAAGGGGGCGGGGGGTAGCAGCTTCAGCTTCAGCTTCAGCTTCTTCTTCAGGGCTGGGGCTCTGTAAGGGGGCTGGCTCCGTGCGGGAGAGGAGCTCAGGGTGAGAGGCTTGTTCTCTGGCTGGGGGGAAAAGAGGGAGTAATTTTGTGGACACCTGGTCCTTTGGCTTGGCTCAGCCCAGACCTGGGATTGTTCTGTGATTGCCCTGAGAGGCAGGGGCCGAGCTCATTAGAAAAAAGAAAAGGAGGACTTATGGCACCTTGGAGACTAACATTTATTAGAGCATAAGCTTTCATGGGTTACGGCCTGCTTCAGTGGATGCAGATAATGGAATTTATAGTAAGAAGATATATATATGGAGAAGGTGGAAGTTGCCATACAAACTGTAAGAGGCTAATTAATTAAGAGGAGCTATTATCAGCAGGAGGAAAAAAAAACTTTTGTAGTGGTAATCAAGATGGCCCATTTAGACAGTTGACAAGAAGGTGTGAGGATACTTAACATGGGGAAATAGAGTCAATATGTGTAATGACACAGCGACTCCCAGTCTCTGTTCAAACCTAAGTTAATGGTATCTAGTTTGCATATTAATTCAAGCTCAGTAGTTTCTCATCTGATGAAGTGAGCTGTAGCTCACAAAAGCTCATGCTCAAATAAATTGGTTAGTCTCTAAGGTGCCACAAGTACTCCTTTTCTAGTTTCTCATTGGCATCTATATATATCTTCTTACTATATGTTCCATTCTATGCATCCAATGAAGTGGGCTGTAACCCATGAAAGCTTATGCTCCAATAAATTTGTTAGTCTCTAAGGTTTCAGAGTAGCAGCCGTGTTAGTCTGTATTTGCAAAAAGAAAAGGAGTACTTGTGGCACCTTAGAGACTAATAAATTGGTTAGTCTCTAAGGTGCCACAAGTACTCCTTTTCTTTTTGCGAATACAGACTAACACGGCTGCTACTCTGAAACCTGTCACTTAAGGTGAGCTATTACCAGCAGAAGAGCGGGGGGGGGGAGAGAGGAGAACCTTTTGTAGTGATAATCAAGGTGGGCTATTTCTAGCAGTTGACAAGAACTTCTGAGGAACAGTGGGGGGTGAAATAAACAAGGGGAAATAGTTTTACTTTGTGTAATGACCCATCCACTCCCAGTCTCTATTCAAGCCTAAGTTAAATGTATCCAGTTTGCAAATTAATTCCAATTCAGCTGTCTCTTATTGGAGTCTGTTTCTGAACCTTTTTGTTGAAGAATTGCAACTTTTAGGTCTGTAATCGAGTGACCAAAGAGATTGAAGTGTTCTCCGACTGGTTTTTGAATGTTATAATTCTTGACTTCTGATTTGTGTCCATTTAGTCTTTTACGTAGAGGCTGTCCAGTTTGACCAATGTACATGGCAGAGGGGCATTGCTGGCACACGATGGCATCTATCACATTGGTAGATGTGCAGGTGAACGAGCCTCTGTTAGTGTGGCTGATGTGATTAGGCCCTATGATGGTGTCCCCTGAATAGATATGTGGACACAGTTGGCAACAGGCTTCGTTGCAAGGATAGGTTCCTGGGTTAGTGCAACCACACAACAGAACCACTACTTTGAAACAGTTCATTAGAGTTTCCTAGTTGGAAGGCCCTCTCAACATCAGAGGGATGAAGAAGGGAAATTTCCACTCCCCTTTAACTGTCTGTTTTTTGTCTTTGTTTCTTGCTCTTTAGTGATGATTTTTGCACTGCCTTTCCCTTCTCCCCTGGATCCTGTGATCACAGTTTCCTTTGTTCTAGAAAATGGTTTAAACAATTTCTCCAAGCACAGTTTTGTGTAAAATCCCTGTTTACAGAAACCAGTTAAAATGGGGATGAGCAACTGGCAACCCAGGGGACTACCTCCAGCCTGCTAGATCACTTTATTTGGCTTGCTTCATCCCAGATTGGAGAAGGGGGCATCCAGGGGAGAGGGACCTGCCTGCATGTGGCTGCGCCTTACATGACATTAGCAAGAGCTAACAGGCCGGAGCAGGAAGCTGTGCAGTGTGGGCTCTCTCCAACTCAACCTCCCTATGACCCAGGAATCTCTGGTGTCAGCTGGCAGGGGGTACAGCGGAGGGGCATAGAAGTTACAGCAATTTCCTGAGTCTGGTGTGTGTATTCTAATTCACCAAAGAATGTCATGTGAGTTCCCAAATAAAAGCCAGTGTCAGATTGGTCATCTACATTATTGTGAAACACATGTACAGATGTTGTATCAGGAGTTAAGTATATACACTATTATAAAGTCTGTGTCTAAGGACTGACAAAGTGAAGGTTTCCTGTCAGACAAGAAATGTTTATCTAGCTGACTGTTCACATGTAAAATAAGTATTGTATAGTTCACAAAGGGTCCCCTATTACTAGTCTGTACTGAATGTTAATGAAGGATTTTGAGAGTTTCGAAGAAAAAAACTACCAGTAAGAGAAGAATCACGGAAGGGGAGGAGAACCGTATCTTGAAGTGCACATCAAATATTTGCTCTGCTATATGTGGGGGATAAAGAAGACACCCAAGAACTCTTCAATGAGGAAGTAAAAGGACAGTGAGCTTACTTCATGAAAGAGGGGTCTCAGTCAGGTTTGGTTGAAAATAATGGTGAGAACTTTGGGCGAGAAACTTCTTTAGACTGGAGGCTAACCTGTTAAGTTTAGTCTCTAGAAAGCAAGTTATGATTTTGTTTTACATGTAACCCTTTGTTTTCAATGTGCTTACTATCCCTTGAATCTCTGTTCTTTGATAAACTTATTCTTGTTTTCACTATAAATACAATCTGAGTGCTGTGGTGTTAAGCAGAGAGGTGATCAGGAGTTGAATCTTGCAAGCTTTTCCTTTGGGAAAAGCAGGCCTGGTATTTCTGAGTGTGTTCAGTGGATAAGTGGCTGGACGCTGCTGGGACCAGTCTGAGGACTTGGGGGTTGGTGTATGCCTACTGCTACCTGTCCAGGGAGAGTGAGGCCTGAAAGGCCATGCTTGTGCTGCCAGAGACTGTTGGTCCACAGTGGGCACAGACAAGATTGCATCACATTTAGGGCAGGTAGTGGTGAGGTGCCCCACAACCATGCATACCACAACCTCACTTCCCAGAAGTGGGACCTGTCCACTTCCCAAATCAGAATAAGCTATTTATTATTGAGTGGTACAAGTACTTTATAATGGTACAACTGCACCACACTGGGTTTTTGGTGCCACTTTTAACTGTGATGGTATTCTTAAAATGGCCAAACCTTCTAGTGTTAACAAGTCCTAAACCCAGCCTAACCTTGAACACTTTTCCTAATCCAGACAATCCTGCAAACATTTTGTGCTTAACTTTAAGCAAACAAGTAGTCCCACATGACTTCAGTGGAACTTTTTGCATGTTTAAGTTAAACACCTGTGTTTGCAGGATCAGGGCCTCAAATTCATAAAGACAGTTATGTTAATTTATGCAAGCAGTGAGCACATTGCAGAGACCATTAATGCATGTACAATGAAATTAAGAAAGAGACGTTTTCCAGCTAACATTTTATGAAAAATAGGGGAATCAGGAGTCAGGGCTCTTAGATTATGTTATAGGTCTGCTAGTCACCTATCCTGTGACTTTGGGTAAATCACTACTTCTCTCCATGCTGTATTTTCCCCATCTGTTTAATAGGAAGAAAATAACAATACTGGCCATACTCCAAGGAGCGTTAAAGCTTAATTCATTAGTCACAATATATAGTGCCCTACAGCCTTCCCTTTTTTAGAAAGCTAATATAAACAGCTTTTAAACCAGGGCAACTTTAAGGTTGTAGAAGGCCCCAAAAACACTAAAATCCCTCTACTGTGTAAAAGTGGGAGCTTAACTGCCCCTGCAGGTCTCTGCCGACCAGACACTGTCCTTTTGTACCCTATGAAGGCCTCTCTTGAAAATCTGGGGTCCACACAATAGAGGAAGTTGAGATTTGGTGGCCAGGAAAAGGTGCATCTCAGCTGAGGGCAGAGGTATAGGTAAGAGAAGGCTTTGGCCCCACAGAGCTTCTCTGGGTAAGATAATACAGTCCTGGGTTTGGTAGGCCTCAAGCACTTTGGAGGACAGGTTTAAAATTCAAAATGACCTTAAAAATTGGAGAATTGATATGAAATCAACAAGGTGAAATTCAATAAAGACAAATGCAAAGTACTTCATTTAGGAGGGAAAAATTAAATGCTCAGCTAAAAAATGGGGAATAACTATCTAGGTCGTACTGCTGAAAAGTATCTAGGGGTTATAGTGGACTAAAAACTGCATTTGACTCAACAATGTGGTGCAGCTACAAAAAAGGCTAATGTGATTTTGGGGTGTATTATATAGGAGTATTGTGTGTAAGACAGGAAGTAATTGTCCCACTCTACTCTGCTCTAGTGAGTCCCCAGTTGAAGTACAGTGTCCAATTCTGGGCATCATAACTTAGGAAAGATGTCAAATTGAAAAGAGGCCAGAGGAGAGTAACACAAATAATAAAAGGTTTAAAACCTCACCTATGAAGAAAACTAACTGAACATTTTTAGTCTTGTGAAAAGAAGACTGAGGGGGATCTGATAGGCTTCCAATATGTTACAGGCTTCTATAAAGAGGACGGTGATCAATTGTTCTCCAGGTCCACTGAAGGTAGGACAAGAAGTAATGGGCTGAATCTGCAGCAAGGGTGACTTAGTTAGAAAGGTTTCAGAGTAACAGCCGTGTTAGTCTGTATTTGCAAAAAGAAAAGGAGTACTTGTGGCACCTTAGAGACTAACCAATTTATTTGAGCATAAGCTTTCGTGAGCTACAGCTCACTTCATTGGATGCATACTGTGGAAACTGCAGAAGACATTATATAC